AAAAATGGCCACCGTATGGAGGATCTTCGCTGGACGGTGAGTTTTTACTCCATTGGAACGCATTGAATGTGTCTCAATGCGTTTCAATGGGGTTTTTAATTTTGCTTTACGATGTTTTCGCTTAATGGTGATTTTCTTGGAACAGATTATCATCGTTAAGCGTAGTATGCAGTAATTAATGTAACAAACTATAAAACTGTAATGGGTTATAAATATAGAGTTAGCATGGTTCTGACCTTCCATAAAATGGAGATATATACAGTAGATAGGTTTTGATTCAAAGAAGTAAATCCAGTGTTAGTTCTCTGTGGAACAGACCCACTGAAAATGAATGGGACCTCCTTGTTATTAACAGGTGGAATTCGGACTAAATACAATACTGATTCCACCAAGAACAGACCTGTTAAAAGTAGTGTTTTAAAAGATGTTTTTCCTCTTTTTTGCAGGACCCCCAGGATCTTAAAAATGTGGATGTGCCAATTACCACAACTGCAAAATTAGTGGATAAAGTGATAGAACATTTGCCAGAAAACCATGGGCAGTACAGTGTTGCCTTGAACCTGATTGAAGCAGTGGAAGCAATGTCATGATGGCAACATCACTAATTCTGCCAAAAGCTTCCAACAGTTCTCTAGTGTTAGTTACATGCATGACACTTCAACAGACAAAAAACAGAACTAGCAACACAAAACAGTACTGAGTGCCACTGGTAAAGTAACAACATAAGATTTTTAGGACATGGCATTGATGTGAAATTCTACCTTACTGTGGTAGGGAATACCAGCAGTGACACCTTTGTATATTATGTCTATAATCCTAAATATTTATTTCCAGCTCCAAGCACTTGTGCAGTAGTTTAGGTTTTAAGAACGGTATTTATGCTGTTCAAATTAATATGTTGAGAACTCTTTATATGCTAAAAGGTAGACTGCTGCTTTTCTACACGTGGACGAAAGGAATTTAATCAGAAGTTGAGAAAGCAGAGCTGCTACACATTTGTTTGCTTGGGGAAGCGTCTCATCTTCAAAGTAATACAGTAGCTTCATTTAGCAAGAGCTACTGGCAAGACACATCATTGACAGATGACTTGGTCCAGTTTCCTTGGGAAAACAGCAACTTAACATTTTGAAGGATGTATCAATATAGGAACCAGAAATATTTCCTCTTGAATATTTTGACAAGCTATGGAAAATAAAATCAGGAATCCAATTTAAGCAAATCACGTTATATAGAAATACTAAGTTTTTTTTGTAACAGCTACCACCATTGTACAGTCTGTTGTAAAGATGTTATAAATTGTGTCAGCTATTAGGTTCCCTCTGTTTTCTGCTTTCCATATATAGCTATTGATGATACAAAGTATTAAAACTAAACTTGACATTCTTTTGTGATGTGCTTTGTTTTATATTAAAAGTTTCAAGTTTCTAACAGACAAAATTGGAGCACATGACAGAGGGCAACAAAGGGTAGCATTAAGTATGAGGGCCTCCTGTACATTTTTCTTGTTTACTAGAATTGTTAGTAGAATTGTTGGACACCATCAAGTCATGTCTAGTTTAAAAGAACTTTATGCACTGATGATCTCCAAAGGACCTTTTGTTAACATTAGTAGAATTAAGAGCTTTGTCTCAGTAGACCTGAACACTGTGATTATCACTAGAGCAATGGGAAAAAACTCTCCTTGTAGGATAGGTAAACGGCTGACATATAACAGGCTTTAAGTGCCAGATATGGGATTTACACAGTGGTGCATACAACTCTCTAAGAAACCAGAAAATACTTTGCAGGCTGATCACACCAGACTGAGGGGTCAAAGCTCATTTTAGGGATTATATATTCTTCCTCCTTGACATGCATTTTCCCCCTGTGCTAGTTAGAGATTAGAGATTGAAGTAGGTTAGTTTGAGTACTAGTGAGAGAGATGGGAATAGGGAGCATGCAGTCCCATAACTAACAATAAAATTACCCCAACCCACTAAAATCCAGCACCACAAGGTATCTCTCATAAGCACTTTATTACATGTACAAAGTCAAGTATATACACACCACCAATTCTCAATTTTTTTTTCTACATTCACCCTCATGGCAATAGTGCATCTCTTCCCTGATACACTTTCTCTCTTCCTTTGAGCTTCCCAAACATGTTAGGAAATGTGGAGAACTGGCTGCTGCTTGATTGTCATTTCCCACCAAGTATGTTCATGCAGCGTGGGCATGGAGTCTCTGCTGACTCCGCAGTATACTTTCGACAGCGGAGGCATTTTGACTTGGCAGCTGGTAGAACGAGGACTTTATACATGGCCTCTTCTCGGATGTCACCACCTATTTTTTTTAAAAAAAAAGCAGATTAGGTCATATTGTGGTAGAAATAATTGGCATATTTTTTTCTCATGGACCTAGGGTGTTGTCAGAAGACAACCTAGACAGACTTTTAATTATGATGAAATTTCCAGCCTCCAGTAGAGCAAGACAAGAAGCTTTTTTCTTTCCCTGTCAAGAGTTTTTGCAATTTATAGAAAATGCTTCTGTAGCAGTCTATGCAAAGAACCGTCCTTGCCTTGTAAAGAGCAAAGCACATGCCCAAAAGTACAGAAGGACTAGCTGATTGAAACATCTGATGGTTTCTTTGTTTTAAAAGATGCAGATTTTTAAAAGGACATGAAGTTTACACACATGTGATCTGTGTAAAACTAAGTCCACATCACTAAAAATATGAGAGTTCTTTATCCACACCTGAGTGGGTGAAACAAACAAGGATTTACATTCTTGGGTACATCCAACACTTTTAGAACCATTTCTACTTTGACTCCAAATGGTTCAAATACTTTCCACATTCTTTTGATGACACAGAATAGAAAATGTTCATTCTATTACTTACCTTCTAAGTTTATTAAAAATGTTCCTTTAATTATGTCATCAGTTTCCATCTCTCTAGGTACTTCACTCAGCAGTGTTGTCTGTGATGCCATCATTATTTCATTTAGCTGGGATGTACTAGAACATTCTTCATGTTGTAGCACCTATAAATGAATTATGATCACACGTCACCCATTTTAAAATCTGTACCCTTCAAACTTGTGAATGGAGTGAGAAACTGGTTATTAATATATTTGTGAAGGCTTTCATGGCCGGGATCTAATGGTGGTTCTGGGTTTTTCAGGCTCTTTGGCCATGTTCTGAAGGTTGTTCTTCCTGACGTTTCGCCAGTTTCTGTAGCCGGCATCTTCAGAGTACAGGTTGCTGTCCTCTGAAGATGGTGTCCACAGAGACTGGTGAAACGTCAGGAAGAACAACCTTCAGAACACGGCCAAAGAGCCCGAAAAACCCAGAACAACCATTAAACCGGTTATTTTCCAAGTGTTTTGACCAGTCTTGACTAACCTGTCACATGGGCAGTGATTATGGTAGTTGGGAGTCCACCAGCATCTAGAGGCACAGGGCCTCTGTGAAGCAGTTAATCTAACAAGATGAGACTAAATTTATAATGTAACAGTTTTCATGCCCCCACGTACACCCATACAACTTGGTGATGTGTTCAATGAATGCATAAGAGAGCTGCAGGACCATTCTACATAAACATGCATACCAGCCTATTGTCAATTGAGCTCAACTAGACGCCTGCTTCTTGAGAGGAAAGCAATGACAAACATAGACATCATCTTAAAAAGTAGAGCTATCACCTTGCTGACAAAGGTCCGCATAGTCAAAGTTATGGTTTTTCCGGTAGCGATGTATGGAAGTGAGAGCTGGACCATAAAGAGGGCTGACCACCGAAGAACTGGTGCTTTTGAATTGTGGTGCGGGAGGAGGCTCTTGAGAGTCCCCTGGACTGCAAGGAGATCAAACCTATCTGTTCTGAAGGAAATCAACCCTGAGTTCTCACTGGAAGGACAGATTCTGAAGCTGAGGCTCCAAAACTTTGGCCATCTCATGAGAAGAGAAGACTCCCTGGAAAAGACCCTGATGTTGGGAAAGTGTGAAGACAAGAGAAGGGGATAACAGAGGACAAGATGGTTGGACAGTGTCATCGAAGCTACCGACATGAATTTGAGAAAACTCTGGGAGGCAGTGGGAGACAGGAGGGCCTGACGTGCTCTGGTCCATGGGGTCACGAAGAGTCGGACACGACAACAACAAAACAACAACTCCTCTGCATGAACACAATCTGCAGCCCTGCACTTGCAGACTGGCTGAAAAGAACTTCAGTAACTACGAGCAGCCCTCTATCCTCCCGGCTAGAAAGCCAGAGCAGAGATCAAGCAGAAGGGGAAAAGGTCTGAACATACAGTGGACCCTTGACTTACAGATGGCTTGACTTACAGACTTTTTGAATTACAGACTTCTCTGGCCGCAAAATTTAGGTTTGACTTGCAGCCTGAGAATTGACTTACAGACCAGAAAAAGCCCAAAATGGAACAAAAACGGCCTGTTACGGGATTAATCGGTCTTCAATGCACTGTAGGTCAATGGAGACTTGACCTACAGACTTAGCAGCCCTCTCTCCTCCCTGCTAGAAATCCAGAGATCAAGCAGAAGGGGAAAAGGTCTGAACATATTCCATGTTGTTCATTACAAGGCTGCAGTGCTTCTGTACTAGTACATCTTGTCCTAGAAGTAACGGATAGATAGTCCCCTCCACAGAAGAGAAGGCAGTCATAAAATGAGCAGGGACAACGGAACTCTAGAACATAGAGCACTACCTAGAAAGCCGCAAAGCTTTCAAAACTGAAGACTGAGCCCTACTGTGTGCCTTGCCCTGGGTGCTCTCTGCCCAGCATGGCAAATTGCACGTTTGATTTTGTGCTTCTCCTACATGTATAACTCTGTACTTTACATTCACTGTTATAACACTGCATTCTTAGGAGTTAATTACATTGCTGCTATTTTAGCTCTGGCTAATGAAACAAGGTACTTTTGGCCTTTTCAAACTGTTCCCTAAGCACATTGGCCTCATAGTTTTGCTTCTCCACTGCACATAGAGTGCCAATTACTGAAGAAGGGTACTGCCTTTGCCCTGTGAAGAGAGCAAACAAAGTTTTGTGTTCAATGTTAGGTGGCTATTTACCTGATCAATATTTGGGCATCCATTATGTACATAGTGATTAGGTTTGGTTTTAACAGATACAAAGTAGTGATTTTCCTGCTTACCTCCATTAATTCAAAGAGCAATCCAGGCTCAATAACAAGGACCACTTGATATTCTACTGAATTTTTGCCTACAATGGAACCCAAGAAAGCATCTCGCATTGCACAGGCTCCCTCCACGGCTTCCTCAAGGCCAGGTTTCTTCCATACAGGACTTGTTTTCATCCATCCAGAACGAAACACACTATCTGACTCTTGGGGGGAAAACAGAGACAGAGTTGGTCTGTAATAGCTCTGTTATTAGTATTTTGAAACAGAGAAAACATTACACAGCAAAGACTAGAGCTTAAAGTTTTATTTGCTATTAAATACAGTCAGTGATGCATCTTCAAACATATTTTAACTCCAGATTATCAACCTAAAGATTGTATATGTGAACTCAATTTTATTTCAACATGGATTTAAGCTCTCTGCCATTTTAGAGCTATGAAATACCAATTTATGCTTTGTTCAGTTACAGTGGTGCCTCGCAAGACGATGTTAATCCGTTCCATGGAAATCACTGTCTTGCGAAAACATCATATTGCGAAACCAAATTTCCCATAGGAATGCACTGAAAATTAATTAATGTGTTCCTAGGGGAAATTTTTTTAAAAGGAACTTAAGGGGTAGGGAGCTGGGGAAGCACCATGGGAGGACTGGTGGGGGATCCCCTCGCTGCGATCGCCGGCTTTGGAGGTCCCCCACCAGTCCTCTGATGGTGCAGGAAAAGCCTCCAAAGTGCTCTAAAGCGGGCGCCGGTGGTTTCAGGGCACCCCCACCAGGGCTCTGATGGTGCCCGTCTAGTGGGGTAACTGTCTAGCGAGGCACCACTGTATTTCCCACCATTCATTACTCCAAGAGACTATACAATATAGAGTTGCTAGAATCAGGAAGCAGGTTTAGCTCCCACCCTGATTGATGCAAAACGCATCTTATTAACTTTCTCCAGTAGCAGAAAAAAATGAGTCTCTTACTTGGAGACACTACAACAATGGCAATAAATGTGCCTTTACATCTAAAACTGAATAGTTTGGCCTTGGTGAGAGAAGATCCCACAGGCTTGCCTTGGAGACGAACATTTTACTTTTAGGTTCCAAGTAAAAACACGTCCTCCTGAGTATCACCATCCTATAGGACTTGAATTTTAGCTGTTCTACTTTGTCAGTCCATGTACATGCAGATTCACAGTATTTCAGAGAAATAACCCCCTTAGAATTCTCAAAACTGCTAAGGGTTTAATGTGGCCAGTTCATGAAAATAATCCCCTTTCTTCTAAATCACGGAGCCCAATTGCTTACTTAGTTTCAAAGCATTCCTACCTTTTGTATAAGGAAGGTACTGAAATACCTCTTCAGCAAGATGTGGAACTATTGGTGCAAAAGAACGAACCACTGTGTCCAAAACCTCTGCTAAGACCGTTTGACAGGAGCGGCGCTTAGGATCTTTTTCTTCTTCACAATAAAGTCTGCATTTTATGAAGGAAATGAAACAATTACAAGTAGGTAGATGTGAAGGTCAGAAAAATACCATTTCAAATACAAATGGCCTAGTATTTGCATTCAAAACTTCCAGTTTAGCATTAGACATTCCATTTTAGGGGGAGTCTATTACCTAATAGCTACTGACACTGTGTATTGTTAAGTTATACATGTTAAACAAAATACACACCCTATCTGACAATGATGGCTAAATGGATGCATGATCACAGAACTTCATTTCACATATCTGTACATGCAAGTTTATATCCTGGAAAGAAAACAGGACTTCTTAAATGGCAGCCCATGTACAGCTCATTTTTATTGTCAAATGTTCTTAATAAGAGAGGAAGAGGAAGTGAACAAGGAGGGTCACATTAGGAAAGGGAGGCTATTATACATACCTGTCCTTGATGATACTAAAGTAAAAGCTTGACAGCTGTCGAGTATGGAAGGCCTGCAGTAGCCGGATGACTTTTGCATAGTCATAGTCCTTATATGCCTGGGTGACCTTGGGAATGACACAGGGGGGAAAATAGCAATCGTGATTCAGATGTAAAAGACAGGAGATGGAAATGACGTATCACAAGAAACAGAGGCAATTATTCATTACAATTACCATATTTTTCCATGTATAAGATGCTACTGTTTCCTAAAATAAATAGAGTAAAAATTGAGGGTCATCTTATACACGGAAGTAAGCTGAACCTACGTGCCGATGCTGCTGTCCATGCCAGCCCGGTGCAGAGCGTGGCGGCGCTTGCTGCCAGGGCTCAGCATGAGCTCACTCCACAGCATTGCAAAACATTTTCAATGAAAATGTAGGGTGAAAGCAGAAATTGCTTTCCTCCTCCATTTTCTTTCCTAAACGTGGAGAGGGAAAGCAGATTTTTGCAATGAATATTTAGGGAGAAAGCAGGAATCGCTTTCCCCCTCCACTTTCTTGCAAAGAAAGAAATTTTGGGTTAGAAAGGGGGTTTCTTATGCACGAAAAAATACAGTAAGTCTTCTATTAAGGGCTGGCACAAGCAACTGTCAGTCTCAATGTTGTGGCAGGCAAGGAAACATGGCCCTCCATTAGTAGCTTGGGTGTGTGCCAGCAATCTCTCCAGCAGGCGTAGAGCATGCAGTCTTCCACATGTTGTACCTGTCACCATTATCTGTGCTGGCTAAGGCTAATAGAAATCGCAGCCCACCAATGCCTATTGTAATGCGAAACTATCCTGGTGTGCAATCAAGCATTTTAGCAGACACGGAAAACCTCTGACTCCCCCTCCATGTTGCTGGACTTCAACTCCCCATGAATCCCCAGCCAGTTTAGCTAGAGCAGTGGTTCCCAACCTTGGGTCACCCAGGTGTTCTTGGACTAAAACTCCCGGAAGCCTTCACCGCTTGCTGTGTGGGCCCAGATTTCTAGGAGCTGCAGTCCAAGAACATCCAGGGACCTCAGATTGAGAACCATTGAGCGAGAAACTGCTTCTTGGGGAAGCAAAACCTTTAGGGAAGATATGTCTGGACAGCTCTAAATGAATACAGTGGTACCTTGCAAGACGAATGCCTTGGGCAATGAAAAACTCGCAAGTCGAAAGTGTCTTGTGAGTTTTTTGGTGCCCCAAGCCAAAGATATTTTCGTCTTGCGAGGTACGTTTTCCCATAGGAATGCCTTGAAATTTAATTAATGCATTCCTATGGGGAAAAAA